TTTTTTTTTTCAGCCGGATCATGTGAAAGTGGCTCGTAATGACCAGGATCAGTGGGATTATACGAAGACACCGCAGTCAGGTCTGTTACCCAAAGATAGTTTTATGCCATCGGTAACGTGCAGTGTTGCAGATTACAGCAAAATACAGGTATACGTGTGAGTACATTGTGAAAGTTAGCATGCACATACGAATCCTCTGTAGACGCATGTTGACATGGCATTCTTGAGAATCAGCGGATCGAAGATGAGAAAACACCCAGAAACATACAGTAATATCAACGGGCAAGCAGCATCACCATTATCCTCATCACTATCATCATCACTGTCACCACCATCATCATCATCACCATCATCATTATTATTATCAGCAGCACCATTATCATTATCAGCAGCAGCAGCTCATAACAGTATGATTGTTAAATTCTGAGTTTGTGCAGAGAAGTAATCACAGCAGCATTTTATTGGATTTGCAACTTTGAAGACAGAGATGACATGCATATTGGGAGCGCCTCAGCTACGATTCACCTCCTCCCGGTGATCACTGATCATCATCACTTAACGCAACAGCAGCATTCTCATTCACAGCTCTCAACAGTCTCGCCGGAACTTGCACATCTGATAGGCAGAAAGAAAGCACTGCGAAAGAGAGGTAAAAAAACCACATATATCATCCAGGCTTGAACTGAAGACGAACATACCACGGAAGTACAGGACGCAGAAAGACCGAAAAAAAGCAAAAAAGAGAGAGAGACTCACACACAGTAGGCAGGCATAATTTTCTAGAAGGGACCGCGGAAGATGCGCGAAGCAGAGGATTGAGAGAGAGAGGGCAGGAGACTGAGATGCTCGATTACTTCCATCATCATCTATGGCTTGTATCCGTTTTCTGCAGGTTCACATTGCCTGCGGCGATGTTACCGCCATTTCTTCTGGAGAACACACACCGTCCATGTCAACTGCTTGCATTAATCACGCAATCCGTATGTTGTTGTGCCTGAGCTAAATATTGAGAGTTGTGTTTGCCTAGAAGAGGTTGGTTACTGCGTTGTTGTTGTTGTTGTTGATGATCATCTCTTTATTGATAATAACGCTTTTCTGCGAATGCTCTTTCAGCTGGATCATCCGTTTCGGGCATTTATCTTCTGCAGTGTGCTTACTTCATCATGCATTTACTTTTTGCATTTTCAAATGAGAAATTGAGACAAAAAAAAAACCCCCCACTGCCTTCTCAAACTGTTTGCTTTCAGATTACACAGAAGAACCGCGGAAAACATTACTCACCGATGCCGTACCACCACGAGGAGGACGTAATTTTTCAAAACATTTTTTTTTCCGCCCAATGAATTCAAGATAGCTTCTGTTCAAATTACGCAAAACGAAACATTTAGTTGCCATGAAAAGTGAAAATATTACAGAGAAGAGCCCCTTTCCCCTGAGATGCTCCGGGTTGCTCAAACAGTCCTCAGAAGAGAGAATGAACAGTGCGCTTCCGCCGGTGATTGCTTTTGGCATCAAGTCAGTAACAGCCATTTGTTGGAATGGTACCGTTGATTCCCTTTTTCAAGGACTGTTTGAAGAGCATAGTAGCTTTTTTTTAAATATTGGATGCACTGGTACTGATTTGTACATCACAAATCTCGCAAATCATGGTTTTTTTTTTTTCGAAAATGTTTCTTTGATGAAAATTCAATTGCACTGAAGAATGTCTTTTCAGCTCCTGGACCACGTGGGCCTCCAAATTATGGTAGGTTTTCTTCTGGAATTTTGTAATCCCCTCATGCGTTTTGGCAAAATGTACTAATTTTACGCATTACATGCCAATGTCTCGAAAACTTTCTTCAAATCTCGGACTCAGGGTAATTTTTGATTTTCCAGGTGCATACAGTGGACGTGGCCGTGGTGGTGGAGGTGGCGACTATGGTTATGATGACCGCTACGGCGGCGCTAGTTATGGTAGAGGCCGCGGGCACTACGATGACTATGACGGATATGCTAGAGGTGACGGATACGGACGTGGCGATGGTTTTGGTCGTGGCGATGGATATTACAGAGGCGGCCGAGGGGGTTTT